GACACAAATTAAAAACAAGTTTATTTTAAAAAATTAAGTTTATTGATGCCTTTTGTCTTCACTATACAATCATTTCCATTGAACATTCTCTTGTAACAAAGAAAATCATTTTGATAAATTAAACCAATGCAGTTGCACATTATGCATCATATTCTCCCATGCCTCTACAAAGAGGGAGGAGTGGTTCATCATCTTTTCCCTAGGACTGAGATTAGTCATTATAATTAGTCAAAGTTTGATTGCTTCTTAGTACTGTGTGCCTTTCCATTATTGAAATCACTTTGTCTATTTCTCTCCTAGTTCTGTTTCCTTTGCTATACATCAGATTGTATAAGTTTTCTCAGCGTTCTCTGAATTCTTTCTATTACTCATTTCCTTCCAACGCAATAATATTCCATCATTTTCATGTGCTATAACTTGTCCAGCTGTTCTCTAATCTATGGGCACTCACGTTTTTTTTTTTTTAAGTTTTTAAATAATTTTATTCTTAAGGGAGAAATGTAAAATATTTCGCCTATATGCTTCTAAAATTCAGAACAGGGAACATAAGACTATTTCATAAATAAAACAATGTTTTAAAAATTCAGTTTCGAGTTATGGCCATTTAAGGAAATAAATCAAACGACATGTGTTTATTAATTATCTATTGTGTTCCATACACTGTGCTAGATTCTGGAGATACAAAGACAAAAATGAAACAGGTCCTGCCCTTGAGGTAGCTGGTGGTGTAGTGGGTAGGGCATTGGGCCTGGCCTCAGGAAGTCCTGACACCTACAGACACTCACTAGCTGTGAGACTCTAGGCAAGTCACTTATTTATCTGCCTCAGTTTTCTCATCTCTAACATGGGGATAATAATAACCCTTCCTGGGGTTTTTATGAGGATTAATGAGGTAATATTTATAAAAAGCTTTGCAAAACTTGAAGCATTATATAAATGCTAATTGTTATTCCTGCTGTTAAGATTATGATTATATTCTATCAGGGGAGAAAAATGTGAAAAAATAGGCACATGTAAGATAAATACAAAAAGTACAACATTCACATATGTATATACAAGATGGATTTTGTTTTTCAAAAATGTATTATTTATTTATTTTAAACATTAAATTTTCTTTTTGAGTTCCAAATTCTCTCCCTCTCTTCTGTACCTCTCCTACACACTGAGAAAGTGTGTATATATTTGATATAAATTTGATATAAATTATACATGTGAAATCATGCAAAACATATTTATATATTAGCCACGTTACAAAAAAGAAAAAAAAAGCATGAAAAAAGAAAGTGAGAAAACTATACTTCAGTCTGCACCAGCTCTCTCTCTGGTGGTGGATAGCATTTTTCATCATGAGTCCTTTGGAATTTTCTTGGATCATTATATTAATCGGAGTAGTTAAGTCTTTCATAGTTGATCATCATTATAGTATTATTGTCACTGTATACAATGATCTCCTGGTTCTGCTCACCTCACTTTGCATTAGTTCATAGAGGTCTTCACATGTTTTTCTGAAACTATCCCCCTCATCATTTTTTACAGCACAATAGTATTCCATCACAATCATATGCCACAACTTGTTCAGTCATTCCCCAATTGATGAGCATCCCCTCAATATCCAATTGTCTGCCCCCACAAAAAGAGTAGTTATAAATATTTTGTTTATATATGTCCTTTTCCTTTGTCTTTGATCTCTTTGGGACACAGACCTAGTAGTGGTATTGCTGGATCAAAGGGTGTGCTCTTTGGGCATAGTTCCAAATTGTTCTTCAGAATGGTCGGACCAGTTCACTGCTCCACTAACAGTTCATTAGTGTACCTATTTTTCCCCTCATTCCATTTAACATCTAATAGGTTTGAGGTGGTACTTCAAAGTTGTTTTAATCTACCTTTCTCTAACCAATAGTGATTTAGAGCATTTTTTCATGGCTATATGAAGCTTCAATTTCTTTTTCTGAAAACCATCTTTTGTATCTTTTGATGATTTATCAATTGAGGAATGGTTCTTATTTTTATGAATTTGACCCAGTTCTATACTCAGTATGTATTTGAGAAATGAGACCTTTATCAGAGAAACTTGCAGTAAAATTTTTGATATTACCTCATTGTCTGTGCTACCTTGTAGCAAAATGTAGTTTCTCTTATTATCTCTTTTAATTACATCTGTTTTAGCTTTTGCTTTGTCTGAGATCACGGTTGTTACCCCTGCCTTTTTTTTTTAAAGTTTATCTGAAGCATATTAGATTTTGTTCAGGCCCTTTATTCTAATTCTGTGTGTGTCCTTCTGTTTCAAGTGTGTCTCTTGTAAACAATATATTGTTGGATTCTGGTTTCTAATCCATTATGCTATCAACTTCCGTTATATGGTTGAGCTCATCTCATTCACATCCACAGTTATGATTAATGCATTCCACCCCCCCCATTTTCCTCTGTTTCTTCTTCTCTCTCTATTTTTTTATCCTGTTCCTCCTCAAAAGTCTGACTCCCTTAATCTGTGCTCTCTTTTATCATCCCCTCCTTTACTCTAATCTCCCCTCCTATTTCTCTTTTGGGTAAGCTACATTTTTCATACACAAGTGAGTGTGTGTGTACAAACATATACATAGGTACTTACATATAACACATATACATACACATACATACATATATATGTATATGTATTCTTCCCTCTTTGAACTAATTCTAATGAGTGAGGTTCAAACATTGTCTGCCACCTCTCCCCCAACCATTTTCCCCCTCCACTGTAAAGCTTTTCTTATGCCCCTTTTTATGTTAGAAAATTTTGCCCTTTCTCCCTTCTCCCAGTGCATCCCTCTTTCTCACCTCTTCATTTTTTTGGAGATTATTCCAGCATAATCAACTCACACCTATGCCTTCTGTCTATGCAGACTCCTTCTAACTACTCTAATAATGATGAAGTTCTTAGGAGTTATGATTGAGACCCTTATGACTACTCTTTCACTTTTACCTTTTTATGCTTCCCTTGAGTGTTGTGTTTGAATGTTATTTTTTTTTTATTCAGCTCTGATATTTTCATCGGGAATGCTTCCAAGTCCTCTATTTAATTAAATATCTATTTTCCCCCCCTTGAAATACTATACTCAGTTTTGCTGGGTAGGTTACTCTTGGTTGTAATCTTAGCTCCTTTGGCCAAGCAAATTCTTATAGATGTAAGGGTAAAGAAAGTTTCAGAGTATGGTGCACTCATAGAAGATGGAGGCCAGTTTGAAGATATTGGGTTTCTAGGATTGAGGAATAGAGAGAGAAAAAGGAATGCTGGAATGACATTTAGGATGTCATCCCATCTCCTTCATTTCACAGATAAGAAAAATGAGAGATGAATGGAATTGCCCAGTTACACAGTGGCACAATTGGAATTTAGACTTAGGTCCCCCCACATCAAATTCAGTATTATTTCCATTGTACCATGCTGCCTTTGATTTTGTCAGTTCAGTAGCTATGGTTTTGCCATTTTAATAGATGGCATAGGGAATCAGTGATACAGTCTTAGGCAAAAGTTATTATTTTTTTCTTTCTGGGCTTCCTTTATAAAAAGATGAGTATGTATGGACTAGATCATATTATCTATCATATATAATGCATATCATATATCATATGGTCCCTTATAATATCCTGATATATGCTCTTGTTCTTTGCTGTACTTATGATTTGGAATAATTGATAATAAACTACATGACCCCTAAGCTCTCTTAGTATAATGTAGTGACCTAAGGCTACTAGTACTTTTATATTCAGGAGGTCCCAGAATTTCAGTTCAATCCATCCCCCTCAATCTTCTTTGATACTTTAAAAAGCAGGTGATTTAATTCTTATGGTTATTCTCTTCACTGAAGCAGATTGCCACCCCTCTCTTTCTTAGTAGGCAGACTATAAAGGTTGCTGTGACCAAAACACTCATTGCCTCGAGGCTGGCTGTGCTGAGATCAGTGTTAGATTTTTGGACAACCTGATAAAGATTCTCTCTGAACTAAGCTAGATTTGTCTCTCAGGCAGTAAGCATATTGTCCACTGCTCTGCCCCAAAGTGGAGCCTCTCTGGTTTAGAAGGACCTGCCAGAGGTTCTGCTTTCCTCTAGCATGGCCTTCAGGAGTCTTCCCAGTGGCATACTAGGAGGTACGAGAAATGAATTCTGGTGTAACTTTAATCACAGTGCCAAAGAGAAAAGTGAATGATGATATAGCAAAAGATAAGAGACTAAAAGGGGCAAAAAGTCTTTATTATAATACAATATAATTTTAATAGATTTACATATTCACAGAGTTCTCTAGCACTTATCACCCCATAAATGGTAAAAAAAAAAATCTCCCATACTTCAAAAAATTTATCAGTGGCTTCTACTACTCTCTTCAACTAAACCTTCTAACATGCTGGGCTTATCAAGGGGGAGAGGCCCAAGATTTTTCTAAGGGTCTCCAGACTCTGGATTTCTATAAGTTGTGATTGCACTCGATCACTATTGATCTGGGCAGAGGAGGTTACATATTGTTAACTAAGACAACAGACAATGGGTTTTTGACACAGGGATGACAAATTATTTGCAACAGCCCTGAAGAACATAGTAGTACTTTTTGCAAAAAAGATTCATTCCTTACAGAAAAGCATCCCTGGAATTTTAGCAAATACTATTTTTTTTGTTAGCTTAGAAGAAACCCTAAATGGATCTATTTATAATTATTTTGTTTCTTGAAACAATTAACTAAAATTTTAATCCCTAGTGTCATTATTCTTGAGACAGAAGAAAAAAATGACAGTTTTCATGTAAGTCATTCATTTTCTTGCTAAGTGATTTTTTTCTAATCTTTTGGGGGGGCATTTTGTTTTTCTGGATTTCAATAGTCTGGACTACTATACTGGTGATTCCTGTGAATTGCACGTTTGTACAAAATCATAATCATGGTGGCTTTTATTGAGGCAGTCTATACCTACATTGATATTCCTATGTAAATAAAATTCTCAAGGTTCAAGGTGATTTTTTATCTTCTTGATTTTTGGCTGTTCAAGCCGCTTCAAGAATTACACTCCTTAGATTCCTGGCAGCTGAAAGAAAGATGAATTATGTGAGTTTATTTTACTTTGAGGCATTAAGCAAAAGAATAACTATTTTGAAAACGATTTATAAAAATCCAGCTGTTTCTGAGATGTCTCACAAGATTAAAAAAAAAAGCTGTTGTAGAAAAACTTCCTACCTTGCATGAGTGTAAAAGTAAACATGTGTTTGAAGTTTCCTTTTAGGAAAGGGGTTCTTAACTGGGGATACACAAACTTTAAAATGTTTTTGATAACTATATTTCTGTATAATTGGTTTCTTTTGAAATCTTATGTATTTTAAGCATTAAAAACCTCTTTTGGAGAAGATGTCTATAGGATTTATCAGACTGCCAAGGCAGTTCATGGCACATAGAAAGGTTAAGAACCCTTATTTAAAGGAAAGTATCTTGAATTTGGACCAGCTTATCAACATGCGATTAAACTGATTCCTTGGCATTTGGGGAATAAGAACATGCAATGCCTTGTAGCAGAGCTGGGGCTAGGGATAGGTAAGTATGGCAGCTGCCTAGGGCATAATGTATGTAACGGAGCATGTTATGTAGTACGTCATTTTTAAATGCTAGAATATCTCCATGGCACGCAGGTATTTATTGTGTGCTAAGGGAAGTCACAGATGTTACAATGAAAGATGAAATCCCCCAGTGGCCCTCACACTGGGTTGGGGGTAGGGGTGGGAAAGGATACCACTTAAGCACCATGCCCAAACCACACGTATACTGTGCCCCAGCTAAGCTTTATCCACACTACATGCTCAATAAGTACTTGTTGATTTTCTTTATTTTACTAAGCTGTGCTGTACCTGTCAGCCTCTGGCTCATTGGTTGATTGTTCACTGGAAAGCCTTTTGTTTCTGGAGTCACTCGACTGCTCTGTTAAGAAAGAGAGGTTGACATTTAAATAAATTCAAAGGTTTGCACAAACCATGGTCATTTGTGAGCAGAAATGACTGGGGATTCCTGCTTCTGGAGGAAGCTGGTCTCACCAACTGTACCACCTTTGTAACACAATTGCTAAACATACATAGAGAACGTGTTTCACACTGTAAGATAAATGTATCTTTGCAATTCAAACAAATATAGGAAACATGACCTAAATCAAGGTGGAACTAAAGTAGGTTTTAGTTTGTATCCTAGTTGATTTGAGCAAGGATAATTTTCCTTATCCTTTGTTGTTTTGCCACTACAACACCATTTAGAGCACTATTCAGTTCTTTATATAGCACTGATTTTGCTTTCATCTTATTACATTGATATCACACTGAATTTACATGATTAATTCTACATTCACAATATCTCTACCATCCATCCTTCCCTCTCTTGGTCTCATTGCCAACACACTCACATGATGCTTTATTACTAACTGCCTTCTAATTTAGTAATAATTTCTGGTTTCTTCCCTCTTGCATTCTCCCCCAAGTCAAATAAATAAGTCATGACATTGCGAGATTAACCTTTCTGATGAGTGGGTGAATGGACTGGTCACATAACTCTTCTGCTCAAAGCCCCACAATAACTCTCCATTACCTAACTAGTAAAGTTCAGTCTCATCCTAACATTTAAGGCCACCCTGAAGTGGCAAATCATCTTGAGGGAAAAACAAGAGGCGGCAAGTGCCAGGCAGATTCAACTCCTACCGTCACCTTCCCTGAGATCCTGAAGAAGATGGTTTAGAACCCTGAGGCCAAGAGTCTAGGAAATAGCAGACCACTGGCCCTGCTTCCAGCCCAATCCCTGAGGCCCATCATCCAGGGAACCAACTCCTATTGAGAAGAGGCCAGTCATCAACACCAACAGCTGACCAACTGTCACCTGTGAGGCAAGCAAGCCAATCTAGCTAATGGAGCAAGGCAACCTGAGGGAGAGACAGGAGGCAGGATGGCAAGTCAAGTGACCCTTACTTTCCCCTAGATCCCACAGGAGATATCCCGGAACCTTTAAGTTAAGAGCCGGAAGAATAGTAGCACCCTCCAAACTTCTAGTCCTGCTTCCAGCCTGGGCTGGAAGTCATAATTAGGGGAGAAATCACTGTAGAGAATTAGGCCACCTCCCTCATTATCACCAGCACCTACTGCTGGCCAGTTACCCCCAGGACAGCTAAGCCCAGGAAGCTGGGAGTGGCCGATGACCACCGTTACTGGTTCCAGCCATCATCTGGGAAGCAAGCCCTCTTGGAGTTGTGGCCTGGCAAATGCTTCTGTGAGGGCTGTGGCTACAGTACTGAAAACCTAGAAGAGAAAACCTAGAAGAGATTTTGACATCAAAATTCTTGGCCCTGGCAAATGGTTCAATATCAGAAACTGACAGGGTTTTATCAGTGGAGATGACATGCCACTGCTTTGCTTCCACACCCCAAGAAATATGGGATCTTTCCATCTGCCATGCAGCTGAAACCTTCTATGTTGGCTGTCTTCCTTACTGGAATGTGAGGATCCTGGGAACAGGGACTTTAATACTTTTTCTGTGTATCCCCAGTGCTTTGGACAAATAAGTGCTTAATAAATGTCATTCATTCATTCATTCATTCATTCATTCATTCATTCATTCATTCATTCATTCATTCATTGCGTTTCCAGCCTTATCTGACAATACTCACCTTCACATATTCTATTTCTTAACCAAACTCAGTATTCACTGTCTCACAAACACACCTTTAAAAAAACCCTCTCAGCCTTCGATCACACTGCTCCCTGTGCTTGGAATGCTCATCTCTTCCCCTGCATGGCTACTGAATTTCTACCCTTACTTTAAAGTCCAAGTCAAATGTTACCCCTTCTATGATGTTTTCCTTCCCCTCCAAGTCAATAAAGACCTTCTCTCTTCCTCCTATCCTTCCCCCACTCCCTGAACCTCACATGACATTTTGCTTATAGCTATAATACACTTCTTATATCTTCGAGTAACCTCATCTTTTTTTTTTTTAAGTGAGGCAATTGGGGTTAAGTGACTTGCCCAGAGTCACACAGCTAGGAAGTATTATGTTTCTGAGACCAGATCTGAACTCAGGTCATCCTGACTCCAGGGCCGGCGCTCTATCCATACTGCCACCTAGCTGCCCCTTGAGTAACCTCATCTTAAAAGTTCAATTTTCTTTGGGTTATAAATTACTTTGGTTACAATCAGAATGGCAAGTAACCTGTAGGGCAAGAGGAAGATACCCAATGGGTATACATAGGCTGAACTGTGTCATTAGTGATGAGTTGTACATGAGAACTGGCATGGAAGCCAGGCATCTTGGTCCCAGAAAGCAGAGCAGTGAGCAGTGGATGAAGTCTGAGAGCTGGATGTAAGGAAAAACTTCCTAACTCTTACTGCTTTCTTCAGAGGCAACAGTGGAGTCCTGGAGACAGTGGGGTTGTAGGCATGGGTTAGACTAGATGACCTCAAAAGCCCCTTTCTACTCAGAGAGCCTGATTCTCTGACATCCATAACCAGAAAAGGAGGTGAGCCAGTCAAGGAGTGAGGAAACAACAATTGGAAGGCCTGGGTGCTTCAGGGGAAACACTAGGATATTATGAAAGATTGGGAGATGATTTCTGGCCTGAGAGGATAGGGTGATGCTCTTGGAGATGGGAAAATCTGGGTTCAAATCCTACCTTAGAAACTTACTAGCTATGGGACTTTGGCTCATTTAACCTTTCAGTGTTCCAGACAACTTTCTTAAGACTAAAAGTTGCAGAGCAGGGTGCTGAACTACGTTAAGAGAGGGAGTTTCCTTACTGCTAGTTCTTCACACCAATGAAAACACAGGTCCCTACCAGGAAAAAATGCATATATGACATGTGGGATGTGAGGGAGCAACTTGAAAGAGAGATGACATTCCTTGCGGGGCTTTGGCAGATGTCACGATGAATACGTTTTTGTAATTTGGGCATGCAAAGCACTTTGAGCAGCCTCTTTCCAGAGCAGTGCAAACAGTAAACCATATATAAGGACTGCATCAGAGTTTACTGAATAGGGCTCTTGGTAGCTAATTCCCCACTTCTCCAACAAATCGAAGGTATTGTTCTAGGCTCACATGAATATACAGTGGCCATCACCTTAAATTTAAAACTTGTGGCATCCAGCACACATGCACACAAGCACACACACACACACACACACACACATACACACACACACACACACATAGTACAGATATGAAGGCTGTATTGTATCCCTGCGGTCTGCAGAGACTTTGTGTGGTTTTGCCTCAGTGAAATATATGTAGCAGTTGGAAGCTAAAGGGATTACTTTTGAATAGTCATCACAGAGGTTGATTATACCCGTACATCATTTAGCCGGACCCTGCAGGCTATAATTCCATTAGTGAGGCTGAGCCCTGCTATTGTCAAAAAGTTGATCACCTAGTGCTAAAAGGCTGGACTTTCCACCAACCTTATCAAAATGATTCAGAGGGTGATTATTAACAAAAGTAAAACACAAATTATGTTCTATGAAATTGATTAGGGGGCAAATATACTTTTACTACACCTAAGAAATGTTCAAATGCTGAGAGTAACTATTTGCATCATGCTGCTATTATTAATGGGGAGATTAGGTTTTAGTTTGGTAGTTGAGGTTTTATTTAGAGCAGTAGATTCTGCTTTAGGAGAATAATACCTCCCCCTTCCAAGAGCTGAAGAGTTTCTGGAACTCCTCTCTGAAGTTGGTACTCCTCGGTATAATTCAATCACATTACACTATCTCTTTGGAAGGCAGCACCATATATCAATGATGGTAAATCAGTACTCCCAGAACAGCCTAAGTAGAGAGCGGCTTTACAAGGCAGCTATGCTGTGGAAAACAACAGCAACCGTCCAAAACAAAACAAAGTCCAAAAAAGAAACCCCAAACCCCAAGCTTTATTTTGAGGAAAACCTGTCAGTGGGGCTTGATAATCAGAAAATCACTTCCCAGGGTTGAATAAATATTTAACTTGGTTTACCCTTCAGATATTAGCCAGTTTCACTGGCTTAATCACAATAATGGAAGAACATAAGGAAGGAGTTTAGATGTATTTTTTGTCAATCTCCAAAATATACTGCCAAGTTAATATACTATTAATTTAAAGCATGACTAGCATGACCCCTGCTCTGTGTGCTTGTGAGTACTGGGTTCGATCTTGATGGCTTTTTTTTCAAAATCTCTTTGGTTTATGCCTCTATTCAGGATTTCTCCTGGGAACATCATTATTTGGCTAATGTCTCTCTAAGGGCCCTTAGCTCCCATGCAAGCACTCAGGCTAACAAACTATCAAATATAGAAAGAGTCTTTTTAACTTGGCAGAAAATGCAGTGGTCTTATACCCTAGCTCATAAACAGTCAAGATGACTCTTCTTCCTATTTTGGTGGGACTTTACTTCCATCTCTCCAAGGACCTATATAGTTGTTTCGACAAACATTGCTTTCAACACTTACTATATACTACGTACTATGCTAGGTGCTGGGACACCATACACATACAAAGACAAAAAAAAAGTTCCTCAAAATGTTTATGTTCTATTGGACCCTGCTTTATCAATCATCCTTTCTCTCCTAAATCTGCTGGCTTTTCCCCCTCTCAGTTCTCATTTTATTTGACCTTCCTGTAGCTGTTGACACCACCTTCTTCCTCTTGTTTCTTGGCATCCGTGAACCTGCTATTTCTTGATTCTTCTCTGCTTGCTTTATCTCAGTCTCTTTTCCACTAGGCATGGCCCTCCCACCCAGGACAGAAACAAAGGCCATGCCAAAATGGTAACAGGGACCCAGGATGAGGTTACTTCATACCTTATGAAAGAATTCATGCTCTGTCAAGGAATCAGGAGGAGAAAAAGAGGAGATTATTCTGTTCCTCCTGGCTAATATATGCCTAGGCTATGGTGGATAAGCATGAATCCTACCCTAATTTA